CTACAACATTTCTCATTTACTGAAGCAGGAAATGTATTAAGGGTATTGCTGGGAAGTAGGTCTATGTTACAAAGAAACTTAAATTCAATAGAAATGAAACTCTAACCCTGGGGAGAAATCTCACAAGGTAGAAAGGCATAGTCTACTTGCTCTTGACTTCAGTGATTCTTCACAAAATTAATACTTTCCATATCATACAATGAAACAGTAGCACAAACATTGGCAAAATACATGTTAGATTTTTTTGAAAATATAGTTTTAATATTATTCAATATACCTACCTAAATAAATGTCAGATCTCTCTCCAAATAAATGTGGGGGGAAAGGAAAAAAACTTAGATTTTATTCTTTTTCCTTGACTTCTGTTTGGAGTTTTCTTTTTCTTCCATACATATTAGTAAGTGAAAATGACCATCAAGAGACAGAAGTGAAAACTTTCAAAGAACACATCTACTCCTTATTGAAGAATATAGTAATAAAATTTCTATGATGTAAAACCTTCACAGACCTGAATACTTTATAGACATTCCAAATGTGTATAAGTTCTGCACAATTCAAATAGTTTTTCACACTATGAAGAAAATAAAAATGTACTACCAATAAAATTAAAGCAAGCATTATATTATATCTTTTAAAGCAATTTCTACTTCCTGTAAAGGCTTTGAGATGAAATAGTACATATGACTTTTCATTAAATATACATAATAAGCACCAATTGAAAACTGAGGCTGAAGCCTCTGTTTCCAAAAATCTCCTTTTGTGAAAAGAATGCTCCACTAGAAAGATATTCTGCAGGCTTAATATTCCCTTTGCCAACTATTTTGTAGTCCAATGATTATAGACACTTTAAATACACTAGGAAAAACTAAGAAAACTTTCCATATTCTCCATTTTTTAAATCTAAGGAACATGAACATGAAATTGGGCTCAACCATCTCTCTACCCATCACATTCTCTAAAAAAAAAAAATAGCCCTCTCGAATACTTTATTGCTTGTTATAAAAATATTTTCCCCTAGATACTACTTATTGTTTTTCCTTCATTTAATCTATAGCCAAATATTCAGTAAAGAATCTACATTTTTCTCTAATTTCTTACCTTTTAATTAACCAACTATAGTTGGTTTTCTGTGTCTATAGGGCTTTCAAAACATCTTTCATAATGGCCATCTGGTTATGAATACAATAAAGCATCAATAATGCTTGCCCTTTTTAAAATTGTCTGGAGTTGATTTGATATTCTTTGAAGTTCTGCTTTGACTTATAAGAAATCTACTCTGTGACACATATTTCCCAACTTCTATTTCTTCTCATTTAACTTTGTTGACTCCTTCTTTGGACAGTATCAAAACATTGGTATTTCCATTTTTTTAACCTTAATTCTGTATACTTCTTTTTATAAACCCACTCTTGTGCCATGGCATAAAATGTACCTATTAAATCAACACCAATATCTCTTTAGCCTCCTCTCCTCCAAGTGTGTTAAAATAGATAACCTGTTTTGTATTCTCAACAATCTTCATCTTCTACTTTAAGACCTATTTGCCTTTGTGCCATTCCCTCTTTCCAAAAAGAAGTTCAACCATTTCCCTCCTATAAAATTACAAGATAATTTTTCAAAATACTGTGAAAATGTATAGGCTTCATAAAACCTTCTACTCTTGCACTAGGAATCACTAATTAATTTTTATTCAGTTGTTTTCCCAACAGCACTTTGGTCATCTTTTTATTATAATAATTACTGGGTGGTATTTTAATATTTTAAAAAACATTACCCTATCCAAAATTAAATTTGAGTTTTTCAAATGTAAAATCCATATTGTCAATATTACAGTATAAATGTGGTACAGCATAAGGGTCATAACCAGGGCATGGACTTTGGGATCAAAAAAGTGTGATCTGAGTCTCAGACATACAAGATTTCCTAGTGTGTGACCTTAGGTAATATTAATAATTGTTATTATATAACAGTCTAACTTTATACACTAGATTTGTAAAGTCTTTAACACAGCGCTTGGCACAGATATTTCTTAAGTCAGTTTAGCTGTTGTTATTTCTCCTCTCAAAATTACATAAGGTATTACTTATCATGACTTATCAATAAATATTTAGTAAATGAATTTATTAATGAATTATAACAGAAAATAATTCTTCTATGCTTTGTTTATGGCTTAAATGTTTGAAGAATGAAGTATAGTTGTGCCCCAATATCCATAGGGGATTGGTTTTAGGATCTCCCTTGGACGCTAAGATTGTCTGTGCTCAAATATCTTATATATGATGTATAGCATTTGCATATAACTATACTTATCTTCCCACATACTTTCAATCATCTCTATATTACTTATAATACCTAGTATAATGTAAATGCAGTCTAAATAGGTGTTACGCCACATTGTTTAGAGAATAATGGCAAGAACAAAATCTAGTACAGACATACAATTTTCTTTTCTAAAGATTTTTGATCCATAGTTGATTGAATCCATGGATTCAGAACCTATGAATACAGAGGGCTAACTGTGTATTTATTACTCATACTATCATAATAGATTTTCAGGCACATGAAACCAAAGTGCAGCTGACATATCCATTAAGCATAGAAACAGACACAGGTACAGAACAGTAGAGGTGTTTGCTCTGAAATTCAGGGGTGTTCAACCTTTTTTTCCTCTGCCTCACCCTGGAAGAAGAAGAGTTGTCTTGGGCCACACATTAAATAAACAAACACTAAGGAAATCTCATTGGCTGAAAACACTTGGTAAGAGTAAAAAGTGGACTGCTAGTAATGGTGGATGATAAGAAATTTTTATTCTGGTCACAGGGGCATTCTCTGGACAGGCAGTCATTCTGAGACCTATTTGTGGGGAGAAGGCAAGGTGGGCTTGAAATGTAGTTTTGCCCAGAGACTGACAGGAGAACACAGATGAAGACGGGGCCCTAGAGCAAGCATTACTGGTGTTCTAAAACTGAACAACTATAAGTACCTAGATCAATTTTTGGCCAAGGATAACACTGGATGTATTAACTCTGAAATATCAATGAATATTGTGGTCTCTCTACTCTTCCCTCCAGCTGCAATGCCCCAGAGAAGCCCTTGTCACTTGTCACTTAAAGGGTTTCTAAACCTTTTGTAGGAGGTGTCTGCAGCTGACCTCTCCAGCTTTCTTCGAATATCAACCAGCACCACCTTCAAAACTAAGCTCCTCCACCTGAAGCTTCTGCCTCAGATCTCTGCAACTCTTATCAACAAAATTGTAGCATTTTGGTAATAAAAGATCTGAAGTTTAATATAATTGTGCCTTAACACCGATACTCTGTACTCTGAGGCCATCACCATTAGGTTGAAGTTAGGGATGGTGGTTATGAGATTGAATATCAAGGAGGATCCAGATATGAACTGTCTCTAAAGCTCAAATGCACAATGGAGAAATAACTTCCATTGTGATGAATGTAACCCCCAAGGTGATCTTCGAAACTTCTCACAGGAAATATGAATTTACTTTGCATGGATACTCAAAACACCACAAACTGAATCAAGAATGAATAACTTAAACTGTTAAGAAAAAAGTTCCCAAAAAATTTTTAGCATATACTTATTTTATCTATAGGGAAAAGCAGTTCTCAGTAACATTTTGAGAAACCCTTCATCAGTGATTGAAATGGAAAGTGAGTTACTAAAGAAAAATCATCATTCTAAATATAGTATACGGTACAAGGCTTAAAACATCTGCTTCTGTACTTCTCTAAGTAAAAGCTACTACTCCAGTAAATGTATTTTTATTAGACAGTTCTATGAGCTTTTTCATTGCCTCTGTTATATTATAGACACTCTAGCAGTCTGTGGTGCACACGCTTGTCAGTGAGCGAAGCAAAGGTTAAGTGTGTATGACACAGATGAGCCCCGAGATTAAGTATACACTGTGAAATGCATGTGGATGTGCATGATTTAAACCAATGAACTGTGGCCTGAAATGATGTCACACGAAGCGCAGCGGTAAGTGGAAGGTTAAACCTACTTGCATCTCGGCTCATTAAACGCAGTTAAAGTGCAAATCCCCTCATTCTGACAGTAGTGATCACAAGGGTTCTCTTTCTGGTCACAGCGCTGACTTTTAAACCCCACAGAGCATCTGCAGAATTTCAGTAAAATACAGCTAAATAAAAGCGTCTGACTTTTTTGCCAAATATGTTTCAAATTTATTTTATACAGAGACAGCAACATTTGAATGAAAAGCTTCCCGGGTATGCTCACCTCTCTCTCAAACCCACTCGTCACATGCTACGCCGACAAGGTGGGGAAGGGGATGCAGACATGGATTCTATGTGGGCATTATCCTTCTCGTCAAGCAATGACAAAACAAAACTCAAAAGAGTGAGCACATAAGATGAATGACCTCATCTAAAGGTGTCCACTACGGGCAACTGGATAATTGCGAGGGAGAAAATACTAAATGTCAGGGTTTTTGAGAGTATTAAGTACCAAAAGTTTTCCTAAACATTTAAAACCCAGACTCAAGTTAATGTATTCCAGAGGAGTCAGGAACTTAACAGGTTACATAATACAACAGTCTAAGCCTGATGTGAACATCAAATAGCATTATACATTTGGAATAGCTATTACAAGTTCTCTTTTTAAAAGATGGTTATAAGTAGCAAATGATCCAAAAAAGATGATTATCTCTGGGCTTCACATATTTGAATAAGGTAAATGAAATTAGAACAATTTCCCTAGGCATTTCCAAGTTCAAAGGTCTATGAATGTCTGAAATGGTACGATGCTAAGAATTGAATGAGCTTTTCCTTATGACATCATTAGCAAATTGATGAAAGAGAAGCTTCTGCAGCATGTGAGCTGAAGAGGGACAATACTTTATCAGAGATGTCCATAAAACACTCATTTAACATATATTGACCCAAGAAAGGAGAGCAGTAGAACAGGGATTCCATGTACATACAAAGAAGTCCCATCATAACATGCCCCCAACGTTATAAAATACTCACAGACACACAGGTACATTAATCTCAGGGTCCAGCTGGCACGTGCCACCATTGTAACAGTAGCCATCACATAACTGGCAGCTAGAGGCAATCTTTCCATTAGTGCAGCTGCAACAACAAAGAAAAAATAATTCCATTGTTGCTGGCATCATTACTATTGAAAGCCGATACAAACTGCAGATGAGAATACTCATTATATAGGAGTAATGGAGTGGCTGGCTGGAAGGAAGTTTTCAGGAAGACAGACTTTGTGAAAGCAAAGTTTTTATTTCTTATCAGAAGGATAACATAAATTTTTTCTTTTCATAATTTTCAAGTTTTCCTCACCTTTACATAATATAAAAATTTAGCATGGCTAGATATATGTGTGAAAAAATTATACTCTTATCACTTACACTTCAAGGGGACATTAGCATCAGTATCTTGTTCCTTTTTCATATAAATGGGATTTGGTAACATCTGTGTGAATTATAAACCACATGATCAGATACTCTGGAAAAAATGAAGCTTTTCCTTCTAAACTGGAAAATCTGTTCCAAAGAAATGTTAGGAGTTTTCTACCTACATTTTATAAAAAAGGGTAGGGTTGTCTCATAGTCACTTTTATCTCACTGTTTCTCCCTGCTTATGGATTGTAATTAATGTCAAACTTTTTTTTTATTCTAGGAAAAAAAACATTGAGGCATTCATTGAAAAAATAGCTGGTAATTTTATAGAAACAATATACAATATGGCAACAAAGTAATGTGATGGTCTTTGTTGAAAAACTTGCCAAAACATTTTTAATTTCCAGGCACATTACATGTTTGGAATAAGAATGAATACATTGGAAAAATGAACACAGCAGTACTGGATAAACTATAGCAATTTCTTCCTTGCTATGTTATATCTTTAAATCAATCAATCAATCAGTCAGTCAATATACAATCAAACAATCAGACTGGACAATAAAAATGGTTGGGTGAATGGAGAAAAGTACATTAACATTCTAAATTATTAAGGAATCTATTCTATGGGATGTGTGGTAAGACAATAATATAAGCCTGGGCTGAAATCAGAATTACAACACATCATGCTGGTAATTTTGTACATGTGCAAGCAAGAAATCAATGGATGGCATCACGTTGCATCTGGACATAATCTTGACAAAGAAATTAGGCTAAAGTGTTGTTGATTGATCATGTTGATGCTCTCCATGAGGGGTATCTACTGCAGTACATCCATCTTAGGATAATTCCTAATGACAGGTATGATGCCTGAAAAATACGTGCTGGGCAGGACAGTAGTGCATTTATTCTGTGAGTATTTATTTGACTTCACAGGGGTCTTATGGCTGTTGAAAATGTCCTGAAGAGTCTGGAGTTTAAAATCACATTTCTTTTCAAAATGAAAAGGAGCAACAAGTTAATTATGTAGATGATGTGAAATTAAGACATAGGCAAATAGCACAAGACATAGGGAAGAGGAGGGTAAAGTTCTAAGATTGAACAGAGAATACCAGTTGGTATGGGTATCTTCATATGGATGCCAAGTGAGTGAATTAGCAATAGTGGTACTGATGTCTGACATGCTAAATGGATCTGAGTGACTTTTCCTTGCCTTCCATTCCCATCTTCTTGAAATTCCAAAGAGTGAAACGTTATAGTTTCTTGCTTTAGCAAAGGGGCAATGTCAAAGGGGAAAATTCACTTATACATTAAAGCATTTTCTGCAGGAAAGGTAACTGTATGCCAACCCTCATCATTTAAAAAAGAAAAACAATTTTAGTTGATTATTTTGAAATTTCTGCTTCCAGCAGTTATATAAGATGTTGCCTCTTTTTCTTTCTAATGATTTTGTTTGAATTCTACATTGAAGACAGAAATTTGTAGATATTTTAAAGGGGACATACAAATTATCCAAATTACTATAATACATCAAAGAGTACAGCTTATGTCTTAATGCAGGTTTTCATAATAATTTCCTTTTTGAGGGGAATGCCCAGTGTGTACACATACACAGTTTGTGATATGTATCACTTTTCAAAAGTTAATTACCAGTTATTCAGTACACACAAAGAATTTCCATGACAATTGACAATCAAAGGATATTATTTAGGCTACTCAAGACTATGATCAACATTTTCTTCACCAAAATGTACTTCAGAAGAGATTAAAAATATGGAATTAGTTCTATTTTAAAGATTATACTTACTATGCTTGATAGGGCACCTGTTCTAGTTGACAGTTCATAGGGTGTGCTTGAGAAACATAACTTCCTATTTGTCATCACAAATAGACATGTGACTGGAGTTTTCCCAACTAAACTAAAAAAGAATTTAACTGTGTTGCAATTTCATTTTAGTATCTGTTCTTTACCTTTGAAACAAAATTCCAACATTACTACAAACTTCATTTTAATGCTAAAATGAAAAGTATCATAGAAATGAAAAATACGATCATCTAACATGTTTCAGGCTATTCAAAGAATTCTGTTGATATTGTCATGTTCAAATGTCATGTAGCCTAGCTGATAAATCAGCTAGGCTGTTATATTCCTATTTTAAGTTCTACTATCTGTTTATTGTTAACTGCTATCAATCTATGCTTATACATACAATTCCAAAAAGATCTTTTAAAAAACAAGAACTATCATTTTGGACTTCACCAGCCTTCTCAGGTCATGAGGATCTGATGTTTCTAGTTTGGAGAAGCCAATTTTTTCCTTTAGAGTAAGCAGTATAAGTATGAACCTACTCTACTTCTTTATCTGTGGGTCATTATGGAAGTTTTAAGACACACAAAAGGTAGGAAACATGAAATAACACAGACAGAAACAAATGAAGCCCTCCCAGCAATCCCAATAAGCCGAGCACGTTGAAACATGCACCAATCAATCAGGAAGGACGCTATTGACTGTGTTTCTTGAAAGTGAAATAATGGACCATAATGGGGTATCTCAAAACTTTCATAGAGACCCACATTTAATAGGAATGGGGTGCATGCTTCCACATTAGCTTTTCTACATTAAACTGGGTAGGAAATTTTGGCTCCCAGCCTTTCTTAGATGACAGCTCATGATTCTCTGGGTAAGTAGGGAGGAGTTGTAAAGAAGACTCTGCTGCACATTCTGATCTGGTACGCTGGACCTGAAGAAAAATGCATGCTCAGTAATTGAAATCAAGCACCGTCATGCTAAAGTTTCATCACAGAGAACTGATGGGCTTAATGAGCAAACATGATTTTGATGTGAAAGTTTGTTTTGCTTTATGTACTTATGAAAGGCACAAATTTATATATTCATCATATTTTCAGTTACTTGAGTAAAAAAATAATGTACTTTCAAATGACCTAATTTGTGTGTTTCGCTAAATGTCATTCATAATGATAACACAAATCACATTTAGAGTAAATTCTAAAATGAGAGTAAATAAAAAAGAAAAAATGTTGACGCTGCTTGTAATAAAATTTTATTGGGCCTTGTTTGGCAGAGAAACATAACTCATCTGGAACCCTCAGTGAGCTCTCAGTAGAAGCCGCAACATGGACACTTTATGGCATTCTTTTTTATCTTATACTTTTATTTATTATACTCCCAAGCAAGACAAGTGATAGAGTCCAGTCCTTCATAAGGTTGTCTTTTAAAATGCTGTTAAAAGAAGTCTGGAGTGAGGATTGATCTCTAACCTTGTGGCATAAACTTCTTTTGTGATAGAAACTGGATGGAATTGCCCTTTAGCCAAGATGTTCTGTTCTCCATTCACTCAATCTTGAAGCCAAAGGTCAAAAAGTAATGTAATAAATGTCAAACTTGGACATGTTTTGTTTTAGTTGTTTTCCAGAACACTTAATTCCTTCTATTTATTCTGGAGCACAATGTTCAAAGTAAGATTAAGAAAAAAAAATGATTAACGTTATCTCTATTAGATAGGTGTTTTGCTCCTCCCCCAAAGGATCAGTTTGCAACATAAAAGCAATTCCATTCATTGTCAATAATCACAATGAAACAATTAAAAGCCTAAACTTTCCTAATTAAATAATATTACATATAGTTTTGAAAGCATGCTGCATGTCACCATTTCTTGCTTCCTCTTAAGAATATTCTATACAGGGAATAAGCTGGCCATCTTATTGAATAGTGGATAACATGTTTCACAGAAGTTTATAACACATGTTAAATAAGTTTGGATTAAATTAAAATAACTTAAATATCATCTCTAGCCATAAAAATATGGTTACCATATAGAAGTTTACAATAAAAATAATTTACATTTCCCCACTGTTTTAGTGCTGAACTGTTCTTTACAGGTTCAAATGCTTTTGTAAGTTAAGCTGGATGTCCACTTACTTGCAAAGTATATCTTCAGTGTCTTTATTTATAATGCAGTGTCCCCCATGGCACCTTATACATTTATCGATCTCACATTTTGGTCCTTCATAGCGTGTTGGACAGACACATTCAACACTTCCATCATCCCCAATGGTACAAGACTCAGAATTCACACAGTAGTGGTGACACACATCTAAGAAGAATGCACAACAGAAAAAATGAAATTATATTATGAGATATTTTTCTTCAGTAATAATAAATGTTACTGTTTAATATCGTAAAGTGGTCCATTAGCAAATCTATAAAAGCAGTTGATAATTACATTTAAACTAGAGTTCTTTATAATACTATTGATTTCCTTTCTTTGAGTCAGGCATCATTTTATTTGGGTAAGAGGAGAGGGGTTATACTGATACAAGGCTAGTGATAAACTTTTTGTTCTGAATGTTAAAGCCTAAGTGAACAAGGTTACTTAGTTTTCCTTCTAATGAACAATATTAGTATAATTTGAAATGAGCAGAAATGCTTAAAATTCCTTTAGATGTCATTTTTATTGCCCCTTTTCACCTCTTTTCACTTGGAGAACAGTGTAATTTGCAGTGAGTAGAGGACTCCTACCTTTTCTCCAGCATTTGATGTGGAAAAGAAGTCTCCCCCAAATAGGTAGTAGAACAAATCCAAGCATTTTACAAATGCCTGAGCAGGTGAGCAAATAGGAAAGTGTGTCTCTCACAAACTTCAAGAGGAAAATGAACTGGGGAAACCACTTGCTCTATCATGGGTGGGGAGTGATAACTGAAATCTAGGCTATTATCCTCTTCCAGGGTGACAGACAGACTATCCTTCCTTCCTATCAGTCAGAGAAAACAATTTCCTGTAATCTGAACCCCTGTTTTGAAAGATTGTCTCTTACCAGGAATCACATACAATGTTCTCAACTACAAAGGAAGATTTCCTCCAAATACTTCTACATCTATTGAACCTGAATAATAACAAAGGTCATTAATTAATATAACAATCACTGGAAACGTACAACTAGATAGTCTGCTTCGCCCTTTTGAAAAGCAGACAGGCCTTATGTGTGTGTTTATGTATGAATATATTCTAATGTATCACATTTAAAATACTGAAATTCATAATACAAATAATTATAAGCAAAAAAAAAAAATCTGACTAAATTAATTCCAGACTCTGTTTAGATGCTGCAACTTCCTTTTAGTTATCTAATTATGAAGCAATGTTAAATGAGGTTAGCTGAGATAAAAATCACAATTTATAAACTTTAAACTGCTACATGACAATTATAGTCAGTGAGGAAACTTAAAACATAATTTATAATTCTCATGGTTGTGTGTTTATTTAGCCCTTTATTAAATCAGACAGCAATTAAATTTATTGACAGGCTTGGTTCATATTTATGGAAATTTATTTCAAGCATTCTTATGCTTGCTGTTAATTGTCTTATGACAATTAACTTCATTGAGCTTCACTGTCTAAGCCTATTAATATAGGTTTTTGCTATATTTAAGAAAAGTAGCACTTTCAAAAGACGAGATGCTTAAAGACCTAAAAATTAAGAAAATGTTAGTGTTAGTGTCCATTCATTATAGATTTTGTCGTTGCTCTAGGATTGGTAAGTATTTTCATAGAACATAAATTCCATTTTTACGTTTAAAGAGTGTATTAACAGTAGCCCATGTGATCATCTAGAACGGCCTCCCATTTGTTGCAGAAATCTAAGAAGAACAACCTTTGTTAGGCAGTTTGCTAAATACCATACCTCTTTTTTATTAAATCATAACTGTGTATATTAATGCATTTATGGGGTACAATGTGTTGATCTGACATACAATGTGGAATGCTTACATCTTATTGATGGAAAATTCTTTGACTATTTTTCTCAATTGCTTTAAAATTTCATCTGTTGGTCTGATTCAGCTATCTGAAATTGGCTGATGTATCTTTACAAGGTTTTCATACTATGTTATTATTCAGAGGTTGCCATGGTGGATAATTCATTGGAATCATACAGGGAACTTACTTGAAGATACAAATTTCAGAGCTTTTCTCTGCTGCCACCCACCCCTCGATTATAATTCATAAGTCTTAAATGGGGCCCAGTTAGTTCCCATGGGAATGAGGGAATGTAAGAAATGATTATCTGGAGAGAATTTTACTAGATGGCACAGAGAGCACATCATCTAATATTAATAATTGCAAACAGATCAAAATAGCTTAATTCTTAACTAACAAGGGGAACTATAATTAAAATGTAACCTTTTATTCTAAAAATTTGAACCACTTTGTTTTTATAACCATACCCCTGAGAAGATCTTGGAAATAAACAAACAAACAAAAATTGAATTGACATTCTTAGGTTGATGACTGTCAAATATAACACTAGAGGAGAGAATAGTTTGGACTTAACCTGAAGTGCTAAAGGGCAAAGTTAAAAACTTCTCTGCAATATTCTAATTATAAGTAACTTTTTTTTCTTTTTTTGGCCGGGGCTGGGTTTTGAACCCACCACCTCAGGCATATGGGCCAGCACCCTACTCCTTTGAGCCACAGGCACTGCCCTATAAGTAATTTTGATGTATAACTTACATCTGTCTTAGACTAAGATTAAAAAGATGTGGGCATGTACACAATTCATTAGTAGTCAAGGAAATACAAATGAATACTTCAATGAAATGCTATTTACACACCCACCAAACACTGAAACAATACAGAAACTCTTACCCACTTCTAGTGGGAGGAATACTGGTTCAACTAATTTGGAAAACAGTTGGCAGTATCTACTAAATTTGAACATATACCTTATGACCTGGAATTTCTACTCTTAATATATACCCAAGAGAAAAGCATGCATATGTGCACCAACCCATAAAAAGTAGAACCTCGACAGCTGACCACCTCTCTATATTGGCCATCTTTGTATGTTGACCAGTTTGTTACAGACCTTTGCTTGGTCTACTTACAGAGGTTCTATTGATGATATAACACGCACAAACATCTTTTTAGAAATAGCCCCAAGTAAAAAAAAATCCAAATGTCCATCACAAGAAAAACAGATAAACTATGATTCATTCACATAATAAAATGCACATATACACAAACACACAATAAAAACATTACTGCTATGGCAACAATATAGATGAATTTCACAAAAATGATATTGATAGAAAACAGCTAGACTGTATATGAAATTCAAAAACCAGAACAAATCTATGGCTTTGGAATTTGAGAAGGAATTATCTCTGGGGAGAAAATAAGGGGTTATGATGAAGAGAGTGTTAGGGAATATCTGAGGTTCTGGTAAGATTTCCTTGACCTGAATGTTGGTTTACCCTGATGGATACACCTGATAATAATTTACTGAACAATATTCTTGTGATTTTAAACATTTATGTGTATATTATACTTCAATGGAAAATGTTTCTTTTTATCCAGAGGCATATAAGCTACATTAGAATGTTTTAGAAATTTTACTTAATTTTATAGGCCCAACTTTTAAAAAGAATTAATGGTCTACTTTTTATGCTTTAAAGGAAATGCTCCACTGTTTAATGCTTCTAATATTTTTTTTTTCATAGCTTGTCAGATGTACATTATACAATGCAGTTGACTGGCCTCATGGCATAGAAATGGAATCCAAAGACTGTAAAAGCAATGTTTGCTTATAATAAAACTGTGAAATAAGCAGATTTAGAATTTACAGTTTAAGAAATAATTCTAAATTGCATGTTGTTAATTGCATGTTAACCATGCCAGTTTTTTCATGTAGAAAGTCAGAATTCATTTTAGGCTCTAAAGTCTTCTCTCCAGATAATCAAATACAGGCATTTCATTTATCCCCAGTCCACACTGTTCACACTACGCTGAGTTGAAGTTCAGGGGCAAAGGGTTGCTCACTATACTTCAGCCTTGGCAGAGATGGTTCTCATTACCTTTCTGTGAAAATCTTCTATCTCCTATTGTTTGGCATAAGATCTGAAGTGTGTGAAAGTTGCTGAGTTATATGTTTGCCTAGGATTTTTTATTCCTCTTACTTCTATTAGGGTTCTAGGGCCTATCTTTGATTGCAAATATGTTATCCGTCTTTTTCCCTTAACCACTTCCGTCTCCCTCCCTTCCTTCCTCCCTCCCTTCCTTCCTCCCTCCCTTCTTTCCTCCCTTCCTTCTTTGTCTTTAACACTTCCCTGTTCACTAATTTCCAACTCTAACATTCCTGAACAGAGCAGAAAGTGGGTCTTACTTAATAAGTGATGTCAGCATCTGATACTTATTTAAGCTATCACACTAGCATTGGATGCTTGTAAATTATAAAGCAAAACAATTCCTTCAAGTGTTGTATGTGATTTCAAGCAGTAGCATGACCCAAGTCCAGGAGAGTTTTAAACATTTGTGGGTGTTGTCTATTTCTAAATCGGATAATTCAACCAAAGTCCATGTTCTCAATCCTATGACTTCTACAGTTAATGAATCATAAGAATGTCACCTTAATTTCTCTCTCATCCTCTTCACAGCATTAATCCACTTTAAATTAAGATCATCTATGTAAACTTGTATAAATACATGTTGTATTTTCATCAGTGTCACCTCTCTGTACACTCTCATATAATTGCTAAACACTCATATTTAAATTCTAAGTATCACTTCAGCTATTTATCTAATAAAAAGGAATACTTCATTAGTACTTTCCAGCCCAGCAGAAATCAGCTTCCTAAATTAGAAAAATATGAAGAAGAATAGTAGATGAAGAATCTTCTTCAGTATGCAATCACTCACTTTGCTTCCCAGTGTTCTGCTCCTGATCTAATAAGCTATGAAAGGAACAGAGAAGTTTCATAGTTGCCAGAGGATCACTTTTTAAAAATCACACACCACTGAAAATTAATTATCCCACAGAGGTTACCACTCTAAGCATTAAAAATGCTTTAAAACTGTTTTGAAAGTAGTCTTTACAAAATACACAGACATTTTCTTTTTTTTTTCTTGGCTGGGGCTGGGTTTGAACCTGCCACCTCTGGCATATGGGGCCAGCGTCCTATTCCTTTGAGCCACAGGTGCCACCCAGATAGATATTTCCTTAACTAAAATATATTGATATTTTATTAACCCATTTGTCATATTATTTTTATGAGCTTACCTTTGAGGAAGTTTTAATGTCTTCTGATTTTTTTCACGTTT